ATATTTTCTTTTGGACATCCTCTTGGCTTATGGGGGAATAATGCTGATTTCTTTTGATTTTATTTATGGGCTGTATATAGGATTGCATTGTAACCAATCGGTAATAGGGCTAACCTTTGTGAAATTGGAATCCACTTCCAGAAGGCATTTTAAAAAGATAGAGATGGAGGTCATTACTATGAAAGAGAAGCCATGCCCCTTTCTCCGTGCGCATAATAAAGGGGCAAGGCTTTGACAGTGAAGTCATGGCCACCATCTTGACTGTTTTGACCTCCCCAGATGCCCCTGGCAAAAAACTGTCAACAGTGGAGTAAAATAGCATTTTACTTTGCTGTCCAATGCCGTTTGATCCAACCTCCTTACCCTTCTCCCAAGTTACTATTGCCATTCAAATTTCAGAGAAGAGGACTCTAATCTACAAAAACTTATATTGTCATAAAGCATATTTTATTACAGAATCATCTGCTGATTTTCACTGCTGCTGATAAACAAACTAACATGCATACGCCACCCAAACTGTACAGTATTAAAAGTTCGATGTCTTGCTCAGCGGTATCTGCAGGGTGTGGTAAAAGAAGTCAAGATGGCGGTCATGATGGTATGATCCAAGCTCTGTCTGTTTTCAGGTTCTTTGCACGTGAGACGCCCATATAGCACGGACAGAGTTTCTATGTCCTGTCATGACCACCATCTTCACTTCACACTTCTTATTTGCTGCAAAAGAAGATGCCTTTTGCTTCATCGGGCTACAAAGCTAAGCCAACCACCATGCCTCGAGTGGGCCTTGACCACTTTGGAATCTTGTCCCCAGATACCATCCAGCGTAAAACCTGAGAAAGGGCCAGGGAGTGTTTCAGGGAAGGTGGACCTTCCTAAGCAGGAACATCTCACATCTAATACAGGGGCCAGCCCAGATGAGCTGAGACAGCTAGGCTTGGTGTCCCTGCCAGGGTCTTGGTTCAGGCACAGGCTTGGAGCAAGGCTGTTTGTGGGGATCAAAGCCAACCCTTCTCAGACACATTTAGCCAGAAGAAAAATACACTTACTTGTTAACACTCATCACATGAAAAAAACAACTGCTGGACAGCCTTTGCCTGTGGAACGTTATGAAATTTAGTTCTGTTCAACTCCCCGGAGACAGAGAAGGAGTTGGTAAGATTTAAGCCCCTCCTTATGCCTAATTTATCTCTGTTTATCTCCGCTTTTCATCCCTCCATCATCAGACTCCAATCCCTCCACCAGTCTCTCAGATCTTTGGCTTAACTCATGTGTTCTGCTTAGCTTGGGCTTCACGTATTCTGTACACTCAGCTATTGTGGTTTGTAGGTCATGCTTTACAGCTTAAGGCAGTGTATGAGGCTTACTCCATGAAGAGACTGTGGCTTCACATGTGGTATGTGAACGCCATGGATATGCATTAGAAGAGGAGGGTCTTGACTTCCTTTACCCGTGAAGGCAAGGGGAAATGCAAAATGTTGAGCCCCCGACATGCAGATGAAATGTTCCTTGTGTGTGCCAAGAGGGGTGAACACAGGAACATTATACGAGCAGCCGTTTTCCAGCTTTCACTGAAGTGCGGGGAGGAATGGCTTTAAGGAGACCTTGTGGAAAAGAAAAGGGGAGGGGTGGTTTCCAGACCCAAGGTTCAAGGCCCTGTTCAAAAGAAGAGGAGTAGGAATGGGTGATGGACTCACTCTTTCTCTGCCCAGCCAGCCAGAGAAGGCACCAAAGACCTGCTTGGTCTCAGATTTGGACCATCCTGCTCTCCTTTGCATTTTTTGACTGGGGTCTTCTATGCTGCTCAGTCCTACAAGACTTACTGCCTTGATGTTGAAAACAGTGATTGGATCTGGATTGGGACCACAGCACACGTGGCTGGCTGGGGAATTCTGGGAGTTGAAGTCTACACAACTTAAGGTTGCTGAGGTTGAGAAACACTGCTCTAGTTACAAAAATCTACCCTCCCCTTTGCACATGATCACTTTAAACCCCTCCCATACTTTAAGCCTCCCCCATACTATCAACACCTGGGACAAGAAGGAAAGTAAATTTTTGTAAGCAAAAATTTGCATGGGGGGGAAGGTCCAAAAAGGCAAAATGGGAGTTGTATCCACACGATTAAACCCTGTCCCACCCACCACCCGATGCATGCTGTAATAGATTCAGCCATCAATGTCTTATACTCCTGCTAATTAAAGGAGTATTTTCAATCTAAATATTGGACATCTTTGCAGACCTGACTTACCCAATGTTTATTCGGTTTACTCCTTTTTCAAGATTTGCACAATACACTGAACCATAAATGAAAACAGACCAGGAGCCCACAAGACACCAGGCTGAGTCTGCTGTTGTCTGGTGTGGCTCAGCGTGTCACTCAAGCCCAGCCACTTCTCAGCATGTGACCCTTTGAGAGTGCCAACCGAGAAGATGCAGGTCTGACGACCAACCAACCATTTCAGCTGCTTCTGATCTTCTCAGGTGCTCCAAATGGGTGGAAACACCTGCACTACCAATCTTGCCTGTTCCAGACTCTCCTCCCTTTGGTACTTCCTCCATTCCATCTCTCTCCTCAATTCTCATGCTTGACTCTTGGAAGCAAAGTTAGTTCTACAAAATATGGAAGTGCCCCTTAATTAAGCCAGGCTCTTCTGAGCCCAGAAAGCCCAGAGCATTTTATGAGTGTTTCATCCATGCAGCCTTGGCTCTGTTTCCTTCCCCCTTGCAGTCGTGCTGCAGGGGGTTCTAAGAGATGCAGCCCTGCACATCTGGAGGGCGCCAGGTTGAGAAGGTCTTCCCAGAAGCAAAGCCACAAAACCTGGCAAATATTAGACGAAAATGAAAACACAAAGATCTGCAGGAAACTAGAATCACTTGCCCCACAGGTCGCTTGCTGCCTTCAAGAACAAATGCCTTTCTTCAACTCCCTCTCTCTCCAGTTGCCATCCACGCTAGTTGTGCATCGGTTTGCACAACACATTTCACCCGATCAGTTAAAAACCTAGCGGCTCATGTTTAGTTTGGGGTGGTTGTTTGTTGTGACTTAGCCTACATGTACCCAACCCTTTAAGTGACTTTCCGGTTCAATGTATTGTATGAACCCAGAAAGACAGACGAACTTTCTGAGTTAAGAAAGTTGTACAAACAAAACTGTTTTTTCAGACTCTGAAAAGGCAATGGGGAAGGTAGAGGACCCCCACAGCCCATTTTACAAAGTAGCCTCTGGCGATTTCTATTGCTACTGCTCAGGAGTGTCTGGAGGGTAGAGTCAAATAAGTCAAGATGATGGTGCGATCAAAGCTCTGGCTGCAACACACATAAAAAACAGGTAGAGTTTCAATGGCAGCATCATAGCCACCATCTTGACTTTTTTGACCCTACCCTGCAGACACCTCTGGTATTGCTCATGGTTCTCCCTCCAGGAGCAGAACTGTGGCCTCATGAAGTTGCTGGGAGTAGACACAGAAATAGTTAATCATTTGTTGAGTTACTTATTGCAGTCCTGATAGCCTCCCCCGGATTCAAAACGCACACCTAACAATGCCAAGGTCTGTCCTGGGGCCTTCTAGGAGCCATGGGAATGTCCAAGAAGGCCACCCACAAAACGTACCGGACTGAACTTGGATGCAGAAGGTCAGCGTGGAACCGTGGGCAATTCTGGCCAGGGATGGCTCAGCCTGTCCTTGCCTCACCGACAGTTGATACGGCCTCCCCTGCTCTCCTATGCTCCGAAAAAGTTGGGCTGCAGTGCGTGAGCAGGAACCCACTGGTGGAGGCTAATGAGAGCGACCGTCCTACGCGCACAAAGCATGAGGGTCCACACATGGGGTCAAAAAGTCAAGATGGAGGCAATGTTGGATGATCGGAGCTGCCACCGTCACGTTTTTTTGCCTCCCTTTGTGGACTCCCTGATCTGAAGGGCACCCAGCCTAATTCATTGGTTATACGGGTCAGACTTTCCTTTTGGAAAAGTAGCATGCAAACTGGATTTAAAATGCCATTTTTAAAGACCCTCTCAAAGATTCCCATTGAACACTCCTCCGTGTGCTACAGGCACAGAAACTGGTAGCTCTCCATGATAGTTTCTGACATGAAATGGAAAAAGTTTCTGCTCTTTGGAGGAAAGATAATTAAATCCTTCCCTCCCCCAAATCGTATTTTCAAAGCCTCGGGGATATGCTAAATGTGGCTCTTTGGAAACTCAGATGATATAAAATCTTTTGTTTGGTTTTTATTTTTATTGTTTTACATGTCAGGCTCCAGTTTTGCCAACCCTCTCTGGCTGCTTCATTTTTAAACGCTTGTGCGTCTGGCCGATATTTAAAAATACAGCCCCAAACCTCTTATGCAAACACAATGCCTCATGTCAGCTGTGGGGCAAATAACATGAGTAAGCATTTTATATCTCCTCCGGATGCGATTAGCTGGAGAAAGCAGCAAAGGGGGAAAATGTGCATTTCATTAATGAAGAACAAAGGAACAGTGACTCAAACATAAGGGGAAAATAGGCTAAAAATAAATAAATAAATAAATAAGGCACATCATAACAATGCCTTTTCTGACACAGAGCAAGTTCAAATTTACTCCGGAGTGCAGAGACCTGAAAAAGTTGTTCAGGGGCCATTCTTGCATCCCGCTGGGGAAGATTAGCGAGAGGTTTGCTATGGCTTGGGGAGCGGCATCTTGAAGCATAACCAAACAGGACCAAAGTTGACAGTCGCTCTTTGCTAAAGCGTTCCCAAAACAAAGCAGTATTGAATACAACCTAGCGAAAGAGTCAAATCTTTTCCTCCGACACTATCTGGAAGTAAGAGGGACACAGCATCCGAGAACCGCTTTTGCCCAAATTCGGAACCCAAAGGAAAAGGAACAGCTGCGCCAGAGTTTGCAAAAACCGCAGCTGTTGAACACGTTCCCGAAACAAAGATCAACTCGCACCCGGAACGCACAACTCCAGCCCAGCCTCATCGAGTGGAGCAGCCCCCGAATCAAGGCCAACTTACTTGTCTAAAACGAAGTACAAATCGAAGTCTCCATAACAGGCAGCCCCTCCATTCTCCCTCTTCCCACCTTGCCCGTCGCAGGTGACCATCACGGCTGCAAGGAGGAGGCATGGCAAACTCCGGAGAAAAAGTTTCTGCTCTGGAAGAGCCATCACTATATCCAGCCGGCCCAAGGGGGAAGGGGAAGATGGGCTCCTTTGCTTTCGTCTTCCAAAGCTCCTTTATCTTAAGGCCATGCAGCGCTTCCAAAGGGTACCAAATCCTGACTTTCAGAAGGAAGAAAGGCTGTCCGGAGCTCTTTCTGGGTTTCAGATTTCACTTCTGCTCTCCTTGCCCTCTCGCCTGTTTCAAGGGGATCCTCTGCTTTTGGCTTCCAGCTCAGCCGAGCCAGCCCCGCGACGGTCTGCAGTGCAATTGGCAACTTCTGGACAATCTTTTTTCCCTTTGCTTTGCCCCAGATTTGGAGAACGTGGAAGCCTCACCCCCCACTCCACCCCCAAATAAAAGATCGCTGGCTTTCCGTGGGAGCCCTATCAGAGTTCACAGGATGCCACCTTGTGGCCAAGCCACTGGTGCACCACGCCACCCCGGGGCCTGGGAAGGCCATGCTCAGAAGATGCGCTGCTCTCTGGCCCTTTCCCTGGGATGAGGGACCGGTGAGAAATTCATCCACTCTGAAGTTTTGTGCACATTTACCAAATCCAAAAATGAATCTCAAAGTCAGAGCATGCTGATCTTTTCGCTGTCCCACTTTCCTGAGTTTCGTGACACATTTTGCAAATGCATACCAAAATGGGGTCAATGTTGGGGTAAAGTCTGCGCAAAAGTAGGGAGGCTGGCAGAACGGACCGTCCCTTGAGCCAAGCCGCCCCATTTCTTTTCATTTCGGCTCTTTATTTATTCCATTCCTTTATATGGCCGCCCATTTCATAAACCTGCACCCAGGCCTGGGGTCCCCAGTGTGTGAAGGGTCCCGTCTCCTGGCTATGCTAACAATGACCGACTATGACATCTTCCTCAGCTGCTGGGTATTTTAATTTTTGTATTTATCATGGAAATTTATTTTAAGACGGTTTGCTGCCCAGAGTCACTTGCTGAGGTGGACAGTCATACAAAATTAAATATACATGACTTTGGGCAGCTAACAGTTAAAACACGATAAAAGCAACCAAAATTTAAAATAACATAAATAGCAGCCGAGGATACCCATAACACCCAAACTAACCATGAAATGGGTTCGCCCATCCTATCTGGGCCCCAGGCTTGATGGCGAAATCAGGTTTGGAGTGTCCTGCAAAAGGCCACCCCTTCTCCCCCCCCCCCCCCCCCCCCCCCACCG